ACAAATTCACTGTGAGAATAAAGAAAAAAAAACCTTCGAAATAGCAAATAGCCACCTAAAATATGCTGTGGGAAATAAAACTGTTAGGTCTAGGCATCTTTGGAAAATGACCTAAACATGCTATTTGTTGTTAAACCCCTCCCTACTCATTTGCAGCCTCCAAAGGAACAAAAATAAATTTCCATGATAACATTACACAAGTGTGCTATGATTTATGTAATAAAAGTGTCCCAGAAAAGTTGCATTTAAATCAAATCCTATTTTAATGGAGTAAGAAAGCTAGCTATTTAAAGAAATAATATGGCAAATTCATCTATGTGGAGAAATAATTTCATCAAACAAATGATTACCTTTTAATATTTTATCCAGAAAAATTTATCAGTTTTAAATATCTGGATCTTTTTATAACTGATCTTCTTAAAGGAAGTAACACCTATAAACCTTAACACTTATTTTATTGAAGATATATTTCTCAGAATTATAAAGAGATCACAAAATAATCTTTTAGAAATTTGACAATCCTTTAAAACTTGCATATTTGCAATACGCCATCTTAAAGAACATCTATCTACATAATTTCTTAATCAACCGACTCTATTAATGTGATATAGAAATTCTTATCCCGTGCCTGTATATTGCTAACTCTAAACAAGTATGAGTGCATTACTTTTAAACAATCACAGCCTTATATTTCTAATTATGAGAGGACAATCTGTTTGTTAACTGCTTTCATAATATTGACCATACAAAGCACAATATAACTTATATAATATTGCAAAAAAGAATAAACGTTCACAGAGCAGCCCCTTGAACTTCCAGACCAAGAAGCCATTTTGTTTCTACATCACGTATAACATTTGAACTGTGTGAATAAATAAACTTATATGAACAATGACCACTGACCCAAAAATAATCATAAATAAAATTTGAATTACCTTTTGCAGCTCCTAGCTCATTGACTGGCATGTAATATATACTCAGTATATTTTTAGATGATAAGTTAATAAATAGCTACTTTGTGTGGTTGAGGTTGCTTTACTCACACATTCCCTTGACACATTACCCTTTATTACCAAGATCTATATTTTCATGATGATACAGAGCAGGGACCCCTCTTAGGGGCCAGCAGGGCTGGCAGTGGGGAATGGGGAGGAGCATGGAAATAAAGGAAAATCTAGAGTCCCTTCAGGAGAATTTCAGGGCACCTGGTTAGCCTTAAAAAGTGAATGAACAACCTGATAAGAACAATGGCCCTCCAAGCAAGCCAGATTGAAGAGGTGTTTTGGTTCCCTATGGAAACTAAAAGATGGCATCTTAATATATGTTTTTGAGCTGTTATTTAGGAACCCCCACCAAAAGAAACTGCAGATAAGGAGGAACTGAGGAATTGACCTTTGACTGCCAATCTTTGTTCTTAATTTCCCCCTGAGGGGCCTCTCATACCTATCTTAACTTTCCTTTCCACTAATGCATAATCTGTGAATCCACCTATACGCCCTTCTCAGGATATTCTATCTTCTTGGGCCAGGCCAATGTATAATCTCCATGTAATAATTTATAATTTTGCCTACCTGAAATGTACCCCTGCTTTTAAAAATCCCTGCCTTGTAAGCCACTGGGGAATCTAGGTCTTAAGCATTAGCTGCCTGTACTCCTTGCTTGGCACTATGAAATAAAGCCTTTCTCCCACTACAACTCTCGGCTTCAGTGTCTGACTTTACTGCACAGTGTGAGTGGAACCCAGTTTGGTTCAGTAATGATGACAGTTCTTAGGAATTTAGGGGAAACAATTTAGAGACTATGAAAATCAGTTGTATGTTATGTGTGTGTAAACTAATATGCACAAAAGGGAATCAAACATATGACTTTGACTGTTTTAGCACCATTCTCTCCTCTAATGTTTCTTAGAAGGTATACAACAGAATTACTAGGACAAAAAGTAAAATTCGTAGTCTTACTGATGTACTAAATCAGAATCTGAGGGAGAGACCTGGGAATCCGTATATAAAGATCGTCATCTTTATCCTACGTGAGTCCCTCCACATGATTCTGAGGCACATTAAATTCTGAGAACCTTTGCAAGGTATTCAGATGAAATTTTAAATCCATAGTTTAACTACACTAAAAGTTTGGAACAGGTAAATTAACATCTTATAAAATACACAAAATACGTAGCTCTAGCTATGCTTTTCCAGAATCTAAAATGAAACTAGGTTGGGCGAGGTGGCTCATGACTGTAATCCTAGCACTCTGGGAGGCGGAGGCAGGAGGATCACTCGAGGTCAGGAGTTCGAGACCAGCCTGAACAAGAGCGAGACCCCATCTCTACTAAAAAGAGAAAGAAATTAGCTGGACAACAAAAAATATACCAAAAAATTAGCCGGGCATGGTGGCGCATGCCTGTAGTCCCAGCTACTCGGGAGGCTGAGACAGCAGGATCGCTTGAGCCCAGGAGTTTGAGGTTGCTGTGAGCTAGGCTGAAGCCACAGCACTCTAGCCAGGGCAACAGAGCGAGGCTGTCTCAAAAACTAAAATAAAATAAAATAAAAATAAATAAATAAAACGAAACTAAAGAAGCAAATGTGTTATCACTTGTAACCCATTAGATGTAAGTGAAAAGGAGGTTTGGTATTTATTAATATTTTGTTCTAGTTCAACTTAAAACTCAAGCCAAATACTATAATATTACAAACTTTAGCAAATGATTCCAAAATGGAAGTGCTCTGCAAGCATCTGCTAAGGACTGGTGATTATGGTCAAAGTGATGATGCTGCAAGGCTTTGCGCATGGTCGGGTCACTTATTAATGATGTATGACTGTCTGTGATTGATTCTTCTACTGTGAATGACGCAGGGAAGTCTAGTTCACATTCAGGAAATCAGAAACTAATCAAAAGCAGATCATTGCTATTTGGGATTGGCCCAATATGGTAGTTATTTTGAAAGCTCATGGGGGAAAGAACATGCAATTCTAATCAAAAGAATTATTTAAAACGTTCACCAAAGGTACTCTACAAAGTCAAACTAAGAAGTGAAACTGTCATTTATTAGTATAGAGAGTGAACTAATATATATAAGTTTACTAAAAAGAAATATATTTTTATTCCCTGTGTTAGCATTCAGAATTTGGGAAAAAACAAAAATAAGCAATTAAATCTGAAGAATCAAAAACTTAATTAAATATATGGGTTATAGCAATGAAATTAACTCAGCAAGTATCAATATCAGTTGATTGATTTTAACACTGTTCCAAAAAGGTCAGCCAGACATAAACAAAAAAGGTATTCCTAATATTAATTAGCAAGAATATGTTATAATTAGCCAACCGGCTGATGTAAACATTAGATGTTTAAACAGGTAATGCCCAAGTGCATTAGTCATAAGTCAATTAATGCAATCGATATTACAATTGTCTGGATAATTTCAAAGTTTATGATGACTCAGATATTAACCACAATACAAATTTGTATGTATGTACATACAAACATACACACATATCTATCTTTTTTTTTTTTTTTTTTCCCTGAGACAGAGTCTCACTCTGTTGCCTGAGCTAGAGTGCCGTGGCTTCAGCCTAGCTCACAGCAACCTCGAACTCCTGGGCTCCAACAATCCTCCTGCCTCAGCCTCCCGAGTAGCTGGGACTACAGGCATGTGCCACCATGCCCAGATAATTTTTTCTACATATTTTTAGTTGTCCAGCTAATTTCTTTCTATTCATAGTGGAGACGGGGTCTCACTCTTGCTCAGGCTGGTCTCGAACTCCTGAGCTCAAACGATCCACCCGCCTCGGTCTCCAGAGTGCTAGGATTACAGGCGTGAGCCACCGCACCCGGCACACACATATCTTCTTTACTGTATATATTTAAGGTACACAAAATGATGTTTGAAAACATGTATACATAATAAAATTATTAGTATAGTCAATTATTTAATTATCTTTTACTTTTTGTGGTAAGAACACTGAAAATCTACTCTCCTAGCAAATGTCACCATACACTACAATATTATTAACTGTAGTCATCATGCTGTACATTAAATTACTAGACTTATTCATCCTACATAACTACAACTTTGTATGTACCATTTTTTAAGGAATCTGTAACTGGTTGTGAGTGTGTACCTTTTGATCTACATCTACTTATTTCCCATGCCCCCCAATAAACACCGTTCTACTCTGTTGCTATATATTCAACTTTTTTTTGGATTCCACATATAAGTGAGATTATAATACACTTAAGATATATATAACAATGGGAAAATTAGTCAAGATTTGTTCATGAGCAATAGCAGGTACCCTTTTTGTCAGATAGTTTCTTAGAGTCCATCATATCCATTGTGAGGGATAACTTTATGGTATTAGATTCTGTCCTATGTCTCTGAAAATTACTTCCTAAAATTCTCCACCTAAGAATATTCTGAGTTTTGCTCTTCCACTCCTATGAGTAGAGTTCCAAGTTTACATTTTGCTGGTACTTCAGATTTAAAACAAACAAATCCATGTTCTTTTCAAGTTACTCTGTCTAAGAATCAATAGATGTTCACAATAATATCCCTCGCTTATGGGGAATTTTGTATAAATGATATTTTGGATGCAGTCTAAGAAGATCTCATTCCAACAGCGCAACAGAACTTGCTTCTAAAAGCAGCCTTCACCTATGAGGAGATTCCACATTATGAGTGAAGTCAACATTCTAGAGTCCAGTATATATTTTCTGAGATGTTTAGTAAAAATCAGTGATAGATTAAAGAGCTAAGAACCATTCATAAAGGAAGAGAACAGATATGCAACAATTGGGCCTTTGTTCCCTAAATTAATTGTTCATATTCCACATATGGCTTTTACTTAGTGCAACTTATTAATAGTGAACTTCCCAACTGTTTGATTTGTAGCAAATTCTAAATTCACAGAAAGTTGGCTCTTTGAATGAAACTCTTTCTTCCCAAGCATAATTATACTTGAAATCTCATTTGCCATACTTTGGTAGACGCAATTCTTACCTGTAACTTTCAATTCAGTTGTTCGTCTGACAAGTTTTCCTTCATATTTAAGTTCACATGTGTAATTTCCTCCATCTTCTTCTTGAACTTCCTGAATAAGAAGAGCATTTCCTTTCTGTATTATTATGCTTCTCCACATTTTTGGCTTGCATTCCTGCAGAAAAAATACGTGCAAGTCAGCAAAAAATAAAAATTCACAAACTATATCTCTGTACTGGCAAGTTAGTACTTTCACTTTTTTCTATTCTTCTCTCTAGTTTTCCAAATATGTAACTAAGAAGTGAAGTCAATGACCAGGCAAAATCATAAATGTATCTTATTATGTCCAGTTAAAATATCACAACTGTCTTACTAATAGCCACTTGAAACGCATGATCCCAAGAGGAAGAAGTCTATAGAAGCATTCTGTAAAAACAGACAGAATAGCATACAAGCTTCCCAAATGCAAGGGAGGTACAGCAGAACCACAGAAGTTGCTAAATGTTATTATAACATACTGGTTCCTTCTATTTGACAGGGATATTTCCTATGAATCCTCAGAGGATATGGTTCATTCAGCCACTTAGTATACTCCAGGGGGGTCTTAGGCATTATTAAACATTCATAATAGACTTTTACATTGGCAATGCAGTTTACGATTATTTTATTAATTACTCCTTATTATAAAAATTAATACTATAACTCGAGAGTCTCCCAACTTGTAGTCAAGAGCTCAATTTGGGGAGTAGAAAGGAAAGGGTCCAGTAAATTAGGCTTAAGAAGTTCTCTAAAAACATAGTAAGTAAAATGAGGACACACATAGTTGCAGTAACAGCGTGGAGAAATCATCCACTTGCTTTCTGAGTTCAGTGGTATATAACCAGAGAATCGGATTTGGTTTTTGAAGCCAATTCTCTTACTCTCCTGATGGGAATGTGAGGGAGTTTTGCTACTGGGATTGGACTTCCCTAGAAAGGAATGTGTAACACTTTTCCAGAAAGTGACAAGGATATAGCAATAACCAAGTATGTAAGAATTTCAGCCAAGTGGCTTTGTCTTTTTGGAATTTTCTGAGACTACATTTTAGATACTGCCCCATTCTGTCCACTATTCATTTTAAATGTTCAACCAAAGTGGTAGCCAAATGCTGTACAAACATTGGTGGAGGCCTTGCGGACAGCTGTGAGAGAGTGCTGAATAACCAAGGAAAAAGTATTTTACCATCTAAATTCTGAGTCTGTCAGTTGAGGTCATAAAGAAATTGGCAGATGATGTGAACAAAGAGTTGAGAGCATTTTCTACTTTCCACATTACAGTGTATGTGACGTCTGTATCTACCATCCCTCAACCCTGCTCTCCATATACACATCTTTAACATTCACATACAGTATCTGTGCTGACTCTCAATCCCCAGCCGTGAGTGCTTGCATGTGTGTGTGTGGGTGGAGTGTGGACGTGAGTTTTGTAAATGATTTCGGAGGGTGAGTACCCCTTTATTAGTTTTTCACTATAACAGATTTTTTTCTTTTATGTTAGTAGGAGTTTTAACAACAAAACACAACAACTGGCACTTAGGTTTACAGGTATAATCTTTAAGAGATACACTTCCTTTATGTTCAATACAACTACCCACACATTTTGTCAGAGAGTAAATAAAAGTAATACTACTGAGGGCATCCAGATATAAGGCTGCTTCACTCCCTAGGGTCTTTCTGAAGAACAGTTAAGGGTCTGTCTGAAATTATATTACGTACCACGTCTGGCAAGGTTTATCACCTATATGAGATTTGCTTCTGAGTTAAACCTTGGGATATAAGGTTTCTGGGAAAACGAAGAAGAAAGTCTGAACAGAGAGAAAAAAAAAAAAAAAACCAGCCCAGCTGCCACTGTCGTCATACAATAATAATCCACAATTATTTTCGCATTGCTTCCAACTCTGATAGCCTCAGATTTCTAAAGAATCATTCTGAAGGTCATTAAACAAAAATATGGTCCCTCTGGGCATTTTGAGAGGAAAGAATATGAAAACGGAGCTGCTGCACTTTCTCATAGCAGTGGTCAGGGCAGGCAAATAAGCCCACACACTCATTTTATTCAAAGACAAATGGTGCTGCATTTTAATGTCAATTTGGGGGAAAATCCATATGCAATTAGTTCTAATAATTTTCATTTTCCCTGCTTACTGGCCTTTTTTCCCCAGGAAGTAAAACGCTATAGTGTATAGGAATTAGAAAATCAGTCCTGATGAAGAACAGCCTGGAATCTTTACATCAACTTTGAGATAGATTTAGATAGTCCCAAGTGCTTCCACGTTGCCATACAAAACCTGAGAAAGGATTCTTTGTATCCAATAGATGGCTTTTTGGGAAAACTGTGGCATAGAAAACTACTGTCTTCAAGTCATATACACCCCTCTGGAGACAACGTAGTTTAGATGAAAAGGCAAACTGACTTTAGGGCAAAACATCTCTAGGTTAAAATCCGGGGTTCGCCCAAGTTCTGTGATCTTAGGCAAATTTGTTTATGGGGATAATATTTGCTACGACGTGAGCAGCCAGAACCCAGAGGCTTGCAGGTTTATTCATTACATTCTTACTGGGCAGCACTGTACCTAATGATCTTCCAATGCAAAGAATGTTCCACAATCCTAAACCTTCCCAATTCTAGATTACATCTCTTTAGAAGCTCCAGCTCTGCTTTGTGAAAATTGGTGCTAATGAACAACAGATACCAAGAAATCTTTACTAATTGGCTAACTATCCTCCAGCAAAATAATATTTTAACTCACTGAAAATGTATAGCTACTAAGGGCCAAACAGTAATCTTAGCAGGTAGGTACAGAAGCTATATTTTGGTCAGAAGAGCCTTTGAAGTATATTTCCCATCATACTATATAGATGACCATCCTGCTCCCACAAATCAACCTTTCTCAAAGTTATTTTGTTGGCTATTCTACCTTGATCCGGATGCCCGTATAGACTCTCAGAAGTCTTCCAGACTCTTGACTCCATTATTTGCAGTGTCTCTTCCCTAAGCTTCTGGCTGCTAGACTTACTGCTGTCACTGCTTATCTACTGCCCCCTATCTTCCTGGTGGACAGACAACATTGCTGTACCTCACTGCCCTAGACCAGTTTACTTCTGACAGCCTGTTAGGCAAAGAGGTTTGAAGGACATAGGTCAAGTCTCAAGATGGTTGTTTATCTGAGGCCAGGACAAACTACCAAAGGCTCAAATGTGAGCAGGACCCTAATATTGACTTCACTGTGTAATTCACCTACTATTTATTGTCCCTAAGAGTATTAAACTTCACCAACTTGAAAATTTCGCTGAAGACCATTCTTGCTGGTGTTGCCTAAGTTCACCAAACAACTTCGTTTTGCAGCCTAGTCATCCTCTCATAGAGCAGTTTGTTGCAGGACATCCTTGCTCAGTCAAAATAATGTCTGCAATTAATGCCCAGCTTCTTTCCCCTGCCTCTCAGCCTTCCTGGGTGACAGATTTCCCTTTGCGGCAGTTGCTGTGTTGGGAACCCAGTATGAACAACAGAGGCATCTGTTTACCAAGACCCCTAAAGTAAAAATCTTGGAGTTTCTACCCTGAAACAGTCACCACTGTACTCACAGTCTACTTCTGAGATAGCATCATCATACCCACAGGTACTTTTTAATCCATTTGATGTGATGGTCATGGTTATGTTCATGCCATTCAGAGCATATGACTCACTCCTCATGGCAAGAACGTCAGGAAAATTTAAATATTTCTTCTGATTCTGAGGTTTAACCACAAAGCAGCTGTTCAACCATAAGCCAATCATGTAACCTCTCCTCAAAGCACATTTGTTTGTACACCAAACACCTGCCCCCTCAGACCAAATTCTCTCCTTTCCCCTGGAGAGTGTACTCTTCCATAGGACATCCAGACATTTAATTAAAAATCTTTAGGGAATCCGAACTTTCTGCAATTTAAAGATGTAAGAGATGATCAGTAGCACAACTGTGAATTAGGTATCAACATTGTCCTTTTTAGTCCTGCCTATATTCCAAATGCCTAGGATAACCCATTCCAAGGAGTCCTTCCCCTCTAAGCCCTATTTCTCCAAATTTCTGCTTTCATGGTCTTAATATTGATACACGTAGCCCACATAATGGGAATACCAAAGGAAAAGAAAAATAGAAAGGAAAAGAAGAAATATTTGACTTTTAATTTCCCAGGTCATCCATGTATTATAGAAGACTGAGCACGAACAAGGAGATGGTGAGTAGTAGGCTGTTCTGAGCATCTGAGCTGAGTTTTGAAAAATACATAAAAGTTAGGCAGGCAGGATGTAGCAGACAGAAGGAACAACAGATGTGAAAAAGTATGGAGTAGATAAAAAAATTACAAAGAGGCTTTGCTCTGTTGAGATGGCTGGGTCCAGATGTAAAAAGCCTTAAATTCTATCCGAAGATATTTGCACATTATTAGGGTTTAAATGCCAGCTCTGCCACTGTGTAGCCTATTTTGGAGGGCTGTTCTAAAGATTGAATCAGGTAATACATGAACATACTTGGCATGATGCCAGGCCCTGTAAATACTCAATAAAAAGGAGCTACCATCTAAATGATTTTACAGAATCATTAAATAGTGGAATCCTATGGTCAGATGGGCATTTCTAAAAGATCATTCTGGTGGATATATAGAAGACAGGCAAACTTTAAGAAGGACATTGCTTAAGAGGCTTTAATTTGCTTTAAATTGTTTTTATCCCTTGGATGCCATTAAAGATATATGGAAGTCCTTTCTAAGGCTGGATTCTTATAACAATTTGGAAAAGATCAACAGTAAACTCTTGTTAAATTTGAAAAAGGCATACCTATTGAAATAAGATTATAAAAGTTGATCAAAAAAATCATGTTGCTAAATCAAGAAAAAATGAAGTCAAAATCCAACCTTATAACAGCTTTATTTCTAATCACCAAAAATGATAACAATCCAAATGGTCATCACCTGGTCAATGGCTAAATAGAGGTACATATACAGTAAAATGCTGGAATACTATTCAGCAATAAAAGGAAAGAACTATTGATATATGCCCCAACATGGATGAAGCTCAAATACGTTATGCTAAATGAAATCAGCCAGACACAAAAGGCTACATATATTATTCTATGTATATTATATTCTGGAAAATGCA